TCGCCGCTCACAGCCTCTTGGAACGTCTTCGGCTCGGCGCTGTCACTCGTTTCCACTGCATTCGCACTCGCACGCCAATACATGGGCTGAGTCGAGTCATCATCATCATTGTCTTCATTCTTGGAATCTTGATGGTCGGAGTCATGGCTCGGAGCACTTGCTTCTTCCAATCCAGCACTGCGACGCGGTCGACGAACTTGCTCCCGTTCGTCAGGGTTGGAGCGAGCTTTGCGTTTCCCCGCCTGCTCGAATTCACGAGTTCCATGTTCGTCCGAAATCTCGAGGTCGTCCAGGATATCCGCCGCATCATCGACATCTTCATCGTCATCTTTATAATGGCGTCGTCAAAGGTGGATTCGTCGAAAGTGACATCGCGAGAAATCACTACCTGCCCCGCCTCGATGTCATAAACGCGATACGCCTTCGAACGCTCTTCATAGCCCATGAAAATGCCTTCACGAGCCTTGGGGTCCCACTTGAGTCGCTTCTCCTTCGGCGTCAGGACGTAGGCCTTGCACCCGAAAACGCGCATGTGCTTCACGTTGGGCTTCCTCTTGTACACAATCTCGAAAGGTGTCTTCCCTGGGATCTTGGGTGACGGCAACCGGTTCTTGATGTAGATCGCCGTCATCGCCGCTTCCGCCCAGAACGTCTTGTCCAAACGTGCGAAGTGAAGCATGCTGCGCCCGATAGTCACAATGGTCCGGTTGGCGCGTTCCGCAGTCGCATTGGTCTGATGCGCATATCGAACCGTCGGTTGGAGTTCGATGCCATGGTCGTCGTAGAAGGCCTTGAGCGAGTTGGTCGCGAACTCCTTGGCACCGTCATGACGCACGAACTTGACCCTGGCATCGAACTGGCGCTCCACCTTGGCGATAAACTTGCGCAGACAGCCTTCACTCTCCGACTTGGCGCGCAAACAGAATCCCGTCATGCAGCCGCTGGCTTCGTCCGTGATCAGCAGCAGATACTTGCTGCCACCAAGCGACTCTTTCTCCATGGCGCCACAAAGGTCGAAGTGCAGGAACTCGAATGGCTTGTACTTGGGCTTGTCCGGGTTGCTTGGGAATGGTTTTTGGACCATCTTCCCTTGTTGGCATCCGCGACATCCGCTCGAGTTTTTCGACGAAGTCGGCATTTTCGCGCCCGTCACCATACCGCTCGAAACCACCGTTGATCGAGACCTTGGACGTCGAATTGGCAGACACCTTGGGCACTCGCAGCCAGTAGAGTCCGTCGATCAGGTCCGCTGAAGCAACGATCTTCTTCGACGACTTGCGCGCAATGTGCATCTCGGAGCCGTCAAACACCACCTTGAAGTGTCCGCCTCGGTTGATCTGAGGCACAGACAGCAGGTTCTTGTTCATGCTCGGCACGTAGAGAGCATCTTCGATCCGGACGTTACGCACATTCCCATTAGGCAGATCACTTGTTGCACAACGGTGCCGACTCCCAAAATCTTGGCCGTTTGTCCGTTGGCAACCGTGAGTACGCCTTCGTCGCGCAAGTTGATGTCCACAAACTTGGACTTGTCGTTGCAGATGTGGTGGGTTGCACCACTGTCAATCGCCCATGTGCCGTCGAACTTCTTGCCCGTCGACACTCCACACGCTGTCGACATGGAGACCGCAAACGCGACGTAGTCGTAGTCGTCGTCGTTACGCCAGTCGATATTGTTGGCACCGCGGCCACCTCGACCGCGTCGTGCACCTCCTCGGTTTTCATCCTTCTGCTTGGTCACGCACTTGTCAATAACGTGCCCCCAGTTTTCCGCAGTAATCACACCGGCGAGTTTCACGCTCGGCGTTGAAGGCCTTCGCTGGTTCCTCGATCTTCACCGCCGCAGTCTTCTCGCCTTGTCGCTTGATATGCTCATTCGTGAGCACCTTTACCACATCTTGCGTTCGCAGCTCTGCATTGCTCATCTCCAAGTTCAGCACGACGTTCTCGTAGCTCTTGGGTAGACTGCGCAGCAAGCAGATCGCCACATCCTCGTCCTCCATCTTGGCACCGATACTGCTGAGCTTGGCGCTGATGTTGAGGACCTCGTTGCAATGGTGAAGGATGTTTCCGCCTTCTGCCATCTCCATGCTGAAGAGCTGGCGCTTGAGGTAGATGCGTCCAGCCTTCTGCGATCCACCGTAAAGGGTACGCAAGCGCGCCCACGCGACCCAGGCTTCCTCGTAGTCGTCGACAACATGATGGTAGTCCGCGTCCATGTGGAGGAGCATGGGACCGAAGGCGACGTTGCTCGACTTGACATACTCGTCCTTGGCCCTGGAGTCCGTGAACGTGGGCGTCGTCTCGCGGTTCACCACATTCCACACCGACTTGGTCAGGAACACGCCACGCATGTAACGGCTCCACGTGGCGTAGTTCTCGCCGTTGAACTTGTCGATGGAGATCTTGGAATCTTGCACAGAAGACATCGTACTTGGACTCATAACCTGAAGAAGGTGATGGTTGGATCTTGTGTCTTGCGAGGGGAGGACTGCCGAAGCTTGGGGCGAGGAGGCCGAGGCGAGGGAAGTCACTTGAGGGGCAGAATGGAAATTCAGAAGTGATTGATTGATAAGAACTTACACTGTCTTCTCTACCTAGTTTGCATCCAATCATTTGGTGCATCCAATCACCAACCCTCTGTACTCGTCCAATCATCCTACTCGTCTAATCATCGGTGGCGCAAACATCCTACCGTAATCATCGCGGGATCGTATTGGATTACCTGCAACAAGAAAGTGGAAAGGCACTTTGCATTTATTTGCGACTGAAGGAAGTACATGTATTAATTTGACTTAGATTAGGTCATTCCAAGTCGACTCAGAGTTTGAGGACCTGATCCGTCCTTTCTTAGTAACATATCTTTAGCGATATGTTACATATCGCTAAAGATATGTTACTAAGAAAGTATATTATGTAGTCAAAGAATGAAGACCTGATCCGTCCACAACTTTTACAGACGATCCTCTCGGTATTGATATCCCCAACCCTCCAAATAAAGTTGGTGAAAGGCCACTATTCACTAATGAGAGGATAGAGGTCAGTTTATCTTAACCCTTTAAGCCCTGAGTAAGTTTAAAAGCAAGCACGAAAATGATGATAAAATTGTTATTCGGAGGTACTTAGATATATATATGGTCTGTTCTGTCAAGGTTGATTGAAGAATAATATCTGCTGCTGCTCTTGATTTTCCGACAAAAAGACAGATACACGCATTACATGTACTGCAATAATATAGCATTTTTTGGTCAGCCAGCCGACCAAATTTAAGTCTAGCTCGGGAAAGCGGACCGAACGGTGTGATTTTGCAGTCAGAGCTTCCAATGGTATGGCTTCGAGTAGATTGTGCTTCAGGGTGTTTTTATTTGTCGCCTGTGATAAAGCGCACTGTAGCTGAAAAACACGTTTTGAGCCCACAATGCATGCTGGAACTGGCTCAATGATAGGTTTTCGGCTTTGTGGCGGCAGATCCTTCATTCATAAGCCTGATTCCCGACGTGGGTGGGGGCTTACTAAGGCCCTGAAGGTGTAGCGGTATTGCAGTGAAATTGATAAATACCATCGTAAACCGGCAAAAAATCGAGCCACTTCGCGGTTAACGAAAGGCAACGACGGCCATCCGTTATCTGGTGTCGTGTGTACCATTATATTAAGTACAACTCCTTAAAGTGATTCCTCTATTTATAAATAATACATGTGGATTCCCAACGCTAGTACAGTACTGCACCCGGTTTTAGCGGTGGTGGACCATATAGGATTTGCAAATAAATTAGATTTTAGCAGACAAACCATTGTTCTTTTGGATTTAGGATCGTCACATCCGGAAGTTTATGAAAGGTCTAAGGGCGCGAAAACGCGGTGCAGTACTGTACGACGTATGATACGTGTATGATGCACTGTATCACTACAGCTTTCACCTTTAAAATTGCAAACTTGTAGTTCAAGATGGCACAATGTAAATTCAAAATGTCACCTGGTCTGAAAATCGATCAAAAGCGAAAGAACTTCTCGTCTAATATGACAGGTGATTAGATAGTACAGGTCTTGGCTGATAAACACTTGGCGCGAAAATTACCACGCATTCACCCACTATCATTACAAGCTACGGAGATGCCAGGATTTTTGCCTGCCACCCGTGGAGAAGAATTGACGGCGTGAAAGGCGCGATGTTTCAATCTTACAAGTGAAATCAGAGATGATTGGTAGCAGTATAAGCAGTTGCGTCGGCCCCTTTTTCCCACGATGACATTTTGAATTTACATGTTGCCACATTGAACTAAGAATCTGCCATTTTGAAGGAAAATGTGTTAATGTATTAATACCATAATGATTACTTCAAAGTGACGATCTCCTTCCTCATTATCTTCAAGCATGTATTAATATCTATTAATGCTTATTAAATTATCTTGGACCTTTAATATTTTTTAAAATGAGGGCAGTATTCTCCAGACAGCCGTTTTGTACGCCGTAAAACAAGTGTAAAACTGAGGTGGGCCTGAAATCGTTTATTTGCCCCATTTTGCGTTTCAAAACGCAAAAAGGAGTCGAAGACTACGAGCAAAATATTGAGCTGGAAATAATACTAGTATTATAATATTAATAATACAACATGTTTTTTGTCACCCGACTATACGGGACATGTTTTTATACCGGTAACTAGACACTTATGTCTCTTTTATAACCTCATTTTTTACATTATAATTGAGCACCAACTGAAGTGATAAACGAGTCGTTTAAAGCGACAAAAGCTTTGCGAAAAGCCTTAAGCACAGCGTACAGTGCTGTTCAAAACTGTATGGTCATTAATCACGAAGTAAAACAATACTCGTCTGTACAGCGCCAGTGATGTACAGTCAGTATCACCATCGTTCCAATCTTGCAAGAATCTAATCCGGAACTTCTACTCAGTGCAACTGGCGCTTCTGACTCGTGGGATTACCTTCACTTGACAATTCCCGCCCAAGCCGACACCAAGTCGAGCAATAGTCCGCTAGCCAACGATGCGAGTTAATCATGTACTGCTTCTGACCCTCGTCGTCCTTCTCGCTTGCAGCGACGTTGTCTTGGGTTCCACTATCAAACAACAAGCACACGTATCCCCGGTGGCTTCGCTCGTTGACATTAAGGTTATTATCAACAATCGAAGAAAGCTTCGAACAAGCGAGATGGCCGTCTCGGACGACGAAGAGAGAGGAGCGATCGACACCCTGCGCGCCAAGCTGATTGGGCCAGCCAACAAAGTGTTGACGTGGCTTAAGAGAAAGGAAGTCGCAGCTGCAGAGAAAGCGAAGACCAAGAAGCTTGTGGAATTTGTGAAAACTCAAGCTCGCTCCGAAAACCTCGACGACGCTGTGAAGAATTTGCAGAAGGAAGGCATCACTCATGGCCAGGTCAAGGAATGGCTAAGACTCGACAAGGAAAAGAATCAGTGGATGACTCTGGACCGCGATAGCCCGCTCTATCTCATGAGTACCAACTTTTTGACAAGCTCAGGGATGCAGCTGTAAAGCTCAACCGCGCAAGCAACCAGTGAACGATATCACAGTTATCCATAGTTGGTGGAACTTTCCGTTCGCAGACCCTTCGCGACACGAGCGCCAAAACTAGCAGCCCCTTTGAAAACAGCTACAACGTATCGTGGTACATGCAGGAGCTACAGCAAAAACCTGCAACAGCATCGTATTGGCGAGCGACTGTCGATTTTCATATCCAGAAGTTTACTTGCCTATCACAAAATACAAAAAAATACTTCAGACCGGCGGCAAGTTGCTTGCCTCGCGACGATTGTTTCTTCTTAGGAGCTACATCTGCCGATTAAACTTCCTGGCATGACCATGTTGATCAATAACCGGTGTTTGAATGGGGCTTGCACTGTTACTTCTTGCAGTACTAACTCCAGAAACACTCGACCTCGTACTTCCAGCACTTGCACTTTTTGCGCGTGGCAGTGTGGAAGCAATCGAGCTGGAAACGATCTTACTGGATCCGTTGATTCGTCTGATGACGTGCTTCTCCGTGTTGACTGGAAGTAGATATCACTGTCTATCAGGTTCCTCCTCTCCATTGTCAGCTTCACTGTATAAGTTCGAGCATGTGCTTCTGCTGCTGCTGCTACTGCCATTAATCGCGGCGGTATAGACGCTCCAGTTGCCGGCGTACACGTGAGGTCTTGAAAGCAGAGTTTTGGGAGCGCATTTGCTTCTTCTCAAGTTGCGGAACCATGAGAGGAGTTCAATTGCACAAAAAAAAACGATGCTACGTACAGCTTTGGATTGTGATTCTGATAAAATGGCTCCCCGACGGTATCACTACAAAGAGGATTTTCTGCTCAGCAAAATCAACATCGATCTCCTGTAACACGCACCGCAGTTTTACACCATAGGCCACAAAACAAAAAGCACAGCGCACGTATTAAGCGTAAGGTGTATTTTACTATAAACAAAACGAGTCTTTCCGCTATACCCGGTGGCAGGAATAAAATATCGGATCCCGGAGTCTACAAACTTGTACGTACACTGTAATACTCATTGTACGATTGTGAGCGATGGTGATACCTAGTACAGTACTGACGTTGGGATACTCTAATCTGCAGTATCACTGATACTGTACTTTACTCAATGAGTAGTACTCACTGAGTACTACTCACTCGGTGCAATTGAAGCTTTTGACTCGTGGGGTTACCTTCACTTGACAATTCCCCCCCAAGCCCACACCAAGTCGAACAATAGTCCGCTAGCCAGCGATACGAGTTAATCATGCCCTGCTTCTGACCCTCGTCCTTTTCGCTTGCAGCGACGTTGTCATGAGTGACACTATCAAACAACAAGCACACGTATCCCCGGTGGCTTCGCTCGATGACATTAAGGTTATTATCAACAATCGAAGAAAGCTTCGAACAAGCGAGATGGCCGTCTCGGACGACGAAGAGAGAGGAGCGATCGACACCCTGCGCGCCAAGCTGATTGGGCCAGCCAACAAAGTGTTGACGTGGCTTAAGAGAAAGGAAGTCGCAGCTGCAGAGAAAGCGAAGACCAAGAAGCTTGTGGAATTTGTGAAAACTCAAGCTCGCTCCGAAAACCTCGACGACGCTGTGAAGAATTTGCAGAAGGAAGGCATCACTCATGGCCAGGTCAAGGAATGGCTAAGACTCGACAAGGAACAGAATCAGTGGAAGTTTTTGGACCGCAATAGCCCGCTCTATCATACTTACACTCCTGCGTACCAACTTTTTGATAAGCTCAGGGATGCAGCTGTAAAGCTCGACCGCGCAAGCAACCAGTGAACGATATCACAGTTATCCATAGTTGGTGGAACTTTCCGTTCGCAGACCCTTCGCGACACGAGCGCCAAAACTAGCAGCCCCTTTGAAAACAGCTACAACGTATCGTGGTACATGCAGGAGCTACAGCAAAAACCTGCAACAGCATCGTATTGGCGAGCGACTGTCGATTTTCATATCCAGAAGTTTACTTGCCTATCACAAAATACAAAAAAATACTTCAGACCGGCGGCAAGTTGCTTGCCTCGCGACGATTGTTTCTTCTTAGGAGCTACATCTGCCGATTAAACTTCCTGGCATGACCATGTTGATCAATAACCGGTGTTTGAATGGGGCTTGCACTGTTACTTCTTGCAGTACTAACTCCAGAAACACTCGACCTCGTACTTCCAGCACTTGCACTTTTTGCGCGTGGCAGTGTGGAAGCAATCGAGCTGGAAACGATCTTACTGGATCCGTTGATTCGTCTGATGACGTGCTTCTCCGTGTTGACTGGAAGTAGATATCACTGTCTATCAGGTTCCTCCTCTCCATTGTCAGCTTCACTGTATAAGTTCGAGCATGTGCTTCTGCTGCTGCTGCTACTGCCATTAATCGCGGCGGTATAGACGCTCCAGTTGCCGGCGTACACGTGAGGTCTTGAAAGCAGAGTTTTGGGAGCGCATTTGCTTCTTCTCAAGTTGCGGAACCATGAGAGGAGTCCAATTGCACAAAAAAAAACGATGCTACGTACAGCTTTGGATTGTGATTCTGATAAAATGGCTCCCCGACGGTATCACTACAAAGAGGATTTTCTGCTCAGCAAAATCAACATCGATCTCCTGTAACACGCACCGCAGTTTTACACCATAGGCCACAAAACAAAAAGCACAGCGCACGTATTAAGCGTAAGGTGTATTTTACTATAAACAAAACGAGTCTTTCCGCTATACCCGGTGGCAGGAATAAAATATCGGATCCCGGAGTCTACAAACTTGTACGTACACTGTAATACTCATTGTACGATTGTGAGCGATGGTGATACCTAGTACAGTACTGACGTTGGGATACTCTAATCTGCAGTATCACTGATACTGTACTTTACTCAATGAGTAGTACTCACTGAGTACTACTCACTCGGTGCAATTGAAGCTTTTGACTCGTGGGGTTACCTTCACTTGACAATTCCCCCCCAAGCCCACACCAAGTCGAACAATAGTCCGCTAGCCAGAGATACGAGTTAATCATGCCCTGCTTCTGACCCTCGTCCTTTTCGCTTGCAGCGACGTTGTCATGAGTGACACTATCAAACAACAAGCACACGTATCCCCGGTGGCTTCGCTCGATGACATTAAGGTTATTATCAACAATCGAAGAAAGCTTCGAACAAGCGAGATGGCCGTCTCGGACGACGAAGAGAGAGGAGCGATCGACACCCTGCGCGCCAAGCTGATTGGGCCAGCCAACAAAGTGTTGACGTGGCTTAAGAGAAAGGAAGTCGCAGCTGCAGAGAAAGCGAAGACCAAGAAGCTTGTGGAATTTGTAAGAACTCAAGCCCGCTCCGAAAACCTGGACGATGCTGTGAGAAATTTGCAGAAGGAAGGCATCACTCATGGCCAGGTCAAGGAATGGCTAAGACTCGACAAGGAAAAGAATCAGTGGAAGTTTTTGGACCGCGATAGCCCGCTCTATCTCATGAGTACCAACTTTTTGACAAGCTCAGGGATGCAGCTGTAAAGCTCAACCGCGCAAGCAGCCAGTGAACGATATCACAGTTATCCATAGTTGGTGGAACTTTCCGTTCGCAGACCCTTCGCGACACGAGCGCCAAAACTAGCAGCCCCTTTGAAAACAGCTACAACGTATCGTGGTACATGCAGGAGCTACAGCAAAAACCTGCAACAGCATCGTATTGGCGAGCGACTGTCGATTTTCATATCCAGAAGTTTACTTGCCTATCACAAAATACAAAAAAATACTTCAGACCGGCGGCAAGTTGCTTGCCTCGCGACGATTGTTTCTTCTTAGGAGCTACATCTGCCGATTAAACTTCCTGGCATGACCATGTTGATCAATAACCGGTGTTTGAATGGGGCTTGCACTGTTACTTCTTGCAGTACTAACTCCAGAAACACTCGACCTCGTACTTCCAGCACTTGCACTTTTTGCGCGTGGCAGTGTGGAAGCAATCGAGCTGGAAACGATCTTACTGGATCCGTTGATTCGTCTGATGACGTGCTTCTCCGTGTTGACTGGAAGTAGATATCACTGTCTATCAGGTTCCTCCTCTCCATTGTCAGCTTCACTGTATAAGTTCGAGCATGTGCTTCTGCTGCTGCTGCTACTGCCATTAATCGCGGCGGTATAGACGCTCCAGTTGCCGGCGTACACGTGAGGTCTTGAAAGCAGAGTTTTGGGAGCGCATTTGCTTCTTCTCAAGTTGCGGAACCATGAGAGGAGTACGTAGACCATCCACTTTTGTTCTTGACAGCGCAAATGTCCTAAAAATGTCCTAAATGCCCAAAAAATTCTAGCATTTGCCATATTTTACCTGAATAGATTGCACAAAGCTACGGATAAGCTCTGGATTAAACTACTGTGCGTAGGGCGGTTGCTACACCATCGATTTTACATGTGCAATACCAGTAAGGAGCTTAACATACTCAGTGCAAGAAAAAGGTACTTTTCAATCTGATCTGTATAAACTTTACAGGAAGATTAGTTCCCATGCGCTCCTTATTGCCGCACTTTACAGTATGTTCCGGCTGTATACAGTGCCAGTGCATGTACACTGTATACTCCAGGTGCTGGTTGTTCTGGACACTTCCTGAGTCCTGGTCGGACGCCTGCCGTGTATAGGCGGCGACGCTGTCGTCACTTGAAGTAGAGAAGTCCCTCGTAGCGGGAACGGGCCCCAGGCGTTGTGTGAGGCCCAGCAGTAGCTAAAGGTTTGTGAATTCAGTTTGATTTTTGCTTTCTGTTGTTCAGACGGCATTCGATCCGGTGAGGAAAGATCAAAGTTAACTTTAGTTACCTTTCTTGCTCAGTTCGAGCTCAAGCTCCGTGTTGTGTGACGCGAGATGGCAAGTAAGAAAGAAGACGTAATGGACGAACTCGAAGAGAAGACCAGAAGAATGCAGTTGCAGAGCGTCGGGTCGGCGCGGTCCCCGAGTCTCCAATTACAAATCCAGAACCCGTTCACGGAAGCGACGGGTCCGGACGAGGCGGATGATGAAAGCATGCCGACGG